CATTGTAATTTGCTGATGCAAATTGTACGTTATAATGGGGAGCCATAAAAGCCCCAGCAACATCTCGGAGACTTGCCAAACACCCTGAGCGTTCATTACAGCCCTCATTAAAACATCCACGTCGGCAATGGGAGCTCTTACAAATGGAAGGAGCATGTAATTGCTGCTTGATTGTGGTATATGTAACATATGATAAAGTGGAATTACCACTCTTTTTTCTGCAGTGTTAGTGAAACTTAATGGGGAAAAAGGCTGCAGTAAACAAATCCTCAGAGCGTTGTTTGATTGTTACATTATAGGGCTATTTGTTTAAAGTGGGGCAGGTGAGTTAGGGGACAGTGTATCCAGGACAAACTAAGAAGGATGATAATCAAGCTTGGGCTTCGGGGGATAAAAGTAATGTTGTTACCCATGAGACTGTGGGTTTCATTTGGAATACCTCCAGCTCCAACTTACAGCTACAAGGCCAATAACATAGAGCTGGGAATACATTAACTGGATTTCATATAAGAAAAGATCAGTATTGTTCTTTTTTATTACGGGGCAGCAAAGTCATCAGCACTGCATTTGCTTTAAGAATCGTGGAACTGGGCCGCAAAAGGTTAGAATGAACCATTGAAGTCACCCCTGGTGAAAAAAATGTTTTGTTCTAATGCCAGTTTGGCCCAGTGGGGTAAAGAGTTTAGTCTAGCAGTTGATCTCAATTCAGTCTTAACGAATGGGGTATGAGGAACTTTGTGAAGCCGAATGTCCCAACTTTTAGGCAGCTTTGAGAGCAATTAAGAGTTCATACAAACAACTAAACTGTGCCGTCTTTTACATTTTGATATTTTTATAAACATTTTAAGCCCAGTCAACACTAATTCACTGTGTCGCTTTTTTATTTAAATGACCGCTTCCGTTTTTGTTTGGTGCCATTTTAAAGCGTCTCCTTTAAAAAAAACCTGAACTGCACTGATGAAAATGAAGCTTCCCTCCTCGACTCTGAATGATAGCGGGCCTCTATCATCACGGCTCTGTGTGCTCAGCCACTGGAAAAGGATTTTCAACTGCACCATTCAGCCGGGGCCCAAGAAGCCTGCAGCCTTTATCAGACCGCTTGATTGATGTGTTGTGGGCCCTGCTGTGGTTAACAGCAATTTTTATCTGTTGCTAGCGGCAACAGCCCAGGTCCCTGGTGCGTAGAGAGCAGCAGGGCCCAGGATCTGAAGCCGGACCGCACACGGGGATAAACAAATAGATTTTTTAAGGCGGACAGCCCTCATAGAGCGACCACTGACAGGCAGCGCCCCACCCCAAGGCCAATAGAATGTCAGGGCCCCATCCCACTCCTGCTGGGCTCTTGGTTTCCTTCACTAATTTTCACCATGTGCAGAGCCAGTGGTATGGAGAGACCTGCACACCCCACTGGAAAGAGGCGCGGTGAGAAAGAGAGTGAGGGAGGCAGAGTTATGTACAAAGAGACAGACAAGATGCTCCATCTACTGCAGGTGAAGACGCCAGAGTATATTAACAAGAAAATCTTGTTTCAAAAGCTATAATTTACACCCAATTTCCTTTGAGTTGCTGTGTTAGCATTAAATCCAGCAAATCTGTTTTACTCTGTTAAATAAAACATGGAGCTTTTAATGGCTCCTACTGTAATTAAGTGACATAATCCTTGTATTTGATAGAGATCTTGCGATAAGCTCTCGTCACTCAGACAAACAAGTGCATTTGTCACAACGTGGAGGTCGTGAATGCCAAATCAATTAAAACAAGATTGTTTAAGAATGCACACATGACTGGGACTGCTCTGTTTAGAGTGTACTCATTTAGCGTTAAATATGATTATGACAACCTGAGCACGGGGAAATGAAGAACGGGTGTGTCTGAGAGCTCCAAATACTCTTATTCGACACAAACACTTCAGCTAAGGTTTGACTCTCTGACGTAGCGGAGATAAACCCTCCTAATACAGACTAGTTAGATTATACTGTCACAGACAAAACCTGCATGGATTTATCGTCAAAGAAAACATGAGCCGTGGCTTGGCCTTGGGTGGTTTCAAAAGGCGTGGGGTGGGTGACTGGCGCTTAATCACTTCATCTGGAAGAAAAGAGCGACGTGTTGTCTTCTTGGGCTTAGCTACAACATCTCCCCCTCCAGACAATATATGTAACCCAGGGGTAATGACAGGCTGGGCGGATCGTTGAAGTGAGATTTTTTTGACATTTTCCTGTTTCTTGCAGCACGTATCTCTCAGGTGCAGATGTTGGACTCTTTATCGAGGAGCCCCTGAGAGGATGATAAATCACCAGAGCCCAGACCCATCTCCACTGGAACAACAATCAGGTAGCAGCACCGGAAACAAGGAACAGATTTTGTCTCCCAAACATAGCCAGGGCTATAATGAAGCCTGCACTAAGCAGACAGAAGAGAGTTGGACTGATAAACAATTCCATATCCAGTCTTCCACAGCGAGCTAGATAGCAAGTCTCATTCCTGCTGCTACATATCAATGCTGGACTCAGTGCGCCGGAGATTAATCCTCACCCTGAAATGCGATGGGTGGACAGAGGGTTGTGGGTTTAGCAGGACAGGTGCAGCCTTTGCAAGACTGCCTGTCTTTCAAATGCATCAACTGGATAAACAAATTCTGTTCAGTTTAATAGTTAACTTTTAATAGTTTTATTACGAAGCTACTGTCTGTTTGTGTTGTGTAGTTTGTGCTGTGTGCATATAAAGAAGGTATGTTCCCGTTTCCCTTATCAAGGACAATTTGAACAACTAGAAATTGCATGAAAAATGCACGACTTAGAAAACCTGCTGTGTTTTGCTCCACTAGGTAAAGACATGTATTGGTATCATTTAGCCATGTGATATTATTCACTTCTTACTCTTCCATTTTTCTTTAAGTTTTATCTGAAAAATAGATTAAAAAAATATCATACCAATGTGAAAACCTGTGTCTTAAGATTTCCGTTTACAAAAACACAGTTAGTACAATTAAACCAACAGCTAATGTGTTGTGTAAGCAACAACCAAAGCATTTAAAGAGAGCATTAAGGTATTTGGCATAAAACACTCCTTATGCATGAGTCTGGCACTAAAATGCAGGAACGTCCTCTACGTTCTTCTCTAAACCAATCAGTCAAGGCCACTCAATTCCATATGTCTTCCAGAAAGACCTATGGAAGCATAAACAAGCATCTCCGATAGAAGTAAAAGACAAACTGTCAGGAAAGATTCACTTTATTAAATCTTAGTGACTTGTGACAGATAACTGGACCGTGTACACCAGCTTGAGTTTTTATTGTGGAGGAGCAAAAAAGCAGATAGCGATGACCGCCAGAGGCCAACTATTAGATAGCTCTTCCGTGCTATCAGCGGCCAGTAGCGCAAAGTTGCCTCATTGACCCTCCCCTACTCATAACCAGGCCTCCGCCCACATACGTAGCCTCTTTTTTTCCAGCTATAACACTATATCAAGCCCCTGGTCTTTTCCTCGCCCTACTCCTCCTCCTCCCATATCCACTCAGTCTCTGCTGGCAGTTCCCTAAAGCCCCCTGACCTCGCACCCCATGTCTCTCCTTCCAAACCATCACACTATAAAGCCCGAAGCACTCACAGATAAGCAAACCCCAGAAATCATGCAGGCCCAGCAGCAGAGCAGATTGAGAGTCAGAGCTCAGTACCCAGGAGGTGCCTGTAGGCTAGAAACGCTGCAGATAGCACCACTGGATAGCTGGAGTGGGGAGCCAGACAACATGAAACTTCCTGCCCTCGTTACTGGACTTTCCTTTGCTTGCACAATGCCCCTGCCTCCCACACAACCACCTCCACGCCAACTCCACCTCCATTTTTGCCCTCTCTCTCTCCCTCTGTCTCTCTGATCCCCTCCTTCTTCCTTTCAGATAAAGAGAGGGCCTCGTTCCCTGCCGACTCAAACTGACAGCTCGAGCCAAAGGGCTCCACAAGCTTTTTTGGAAGGTCTTGTTTGTTTTCATCCATCTGTGAGCATGCAGCCACTGGGGAAAAGGAATGTGACATGTTCTATTAAAACAAAATAAAAAAGAAGATCGCACAGAGATCAATGTCTTCTGAAGTTGAGCTTTGTTCAGTGCTTTAACTGTAGTCCTTTGAGGCAGATTAAGGCTGACAAACCATTTATAGTTGTTTTGTTTGCCGAGATGATTGCTTCCAAGCTACAATGAGAACTGCCATATGCCACTCATCAGCTAAAAGTAGCACACTTTAAACAACGTTCCTCTTATGAGTTTCCCTTTAAGGAAAGGACATAAAGGACGACCGCTTGTCTGTATTATCCAGAGACTACACACATCATTGAAACAATGGGAGGGGAAGAACACAAATTTACGGTTCGAGAATGCACTGGGGCAAGGCAACAGATGCTTTCAGGGGATAAAAATAGTCCTGTAGTGACAATTTGTGAGCTAGTTTATGTTCAAAAGGTTTGAGCTGATGTTTTCTTAGGTGGCACTAAATAATCCTCTTGGGCACCTTTACCTTGAACAGGCGACATGTTCCAAGATTAAAAAATAACTCTCTAACTACCTCTTATTAGCACGCAGTCACTTCCAAAAGTCCACGGGACAGTTTTCACTGTAACATGCATACATGCAGCCTTCCTGCAGTGAAAAATGGATTTATAGCACAAAAGCAAAAGTCTTTTTAAGCATTTTTTTCATATGTGTGAGCAGAAACATCCGTCACTGACAGTCACTGGAGGAAGATATAAAACTCTGACATCGAAATTGCAGCTCAGGCGAACACAGCGCTGATCAATGCCAATAAAACGAGGCCCTTTTTGCCAAGGTAGCATAGGACACCTTCCTGCAATTTAATCAGTCAGTCAGCCAGAATTAATGTTCCTAATATCATGATTTCTCCATTACTCTATTTAACATAATTAAAATGTCGAGCGCCGGGGCCATAAAGCGGGTCGTTGGAGATTGTAATTCTGCCGTAAAGCTATGAAGCATGAAAATGTCACTTACCGAGTAGCCACGGCCTGACAGCGAGTGAGTGGAACTCTGTAGGGAGAGAGAGGAGAACAGGGATGACCTTTAAGGAGTGTTTCGCTCGCTCACGCTGACATGATGAAGCAGCGTAGCTTTAATATCAGTATTCACATTAACCTTTTACCCGCCCTACCATGCACCCCACGCCTGCTCACTTTGCTACCATTCATTCTGTTCTGAACAACAGGGGTAGCTGGTCTAAAAACAAAAAGTCCCATACTACAAATACACCGTGGAAAACATGGTCCACATCTGTGTAAATACAACAGTGAGATACTGGGTGTACTGGTCTGTCCTCATAATGCGCTGCAGTGCTACATGTGAAAATTAAGTATCATTTATTGGCTTGAATTTAGTTCCCATAGACGTCAACAGACGAATGAGAGGGACTCCATCACCTTCATCAGGAGACAAATTAAAAAACTATTTGATACAGGAATTATTTTATAGCTGAAGATTTTAAGTGTCTGTTTAGTGCTAAAAAAACTCCTTAGATTAGGAAGAGCACCACAACAAGCTTTCTTTGGATGACTGGGCAGATATTTCACCATCGGTAAATATGGTGCATAAAAATAAGAGCTAATTTCCAAAATCATAGTCTTTCATAGCCTAACATTTTCAGTGTTCCCACCATGTTCATCTCTATAAAAAATAAAGAAATCTCTGTATGCATGTGTGTTGTTTGAATTTCTCAACAACAGTCTATCAGGTCCGACACGAACTTGTTGGGAAGGTGTCATTGTGGGGTCCTGCGGGTTAGGGTGAGGCCGTTCTATGTCATCATCCTTGACCTTTATGCTGATGCACTCTTTTGTGTCCACACAATGACACCATTTCAGGTAACATAGTTTCTAAATAACAGCGCACTGTCAATGACATCAAACGACAACAGGCACTCACTAATAATAAAGGGATCCATGCATCAGTGCGTTCTCTACGTTTCTATCAACTTTTCTTCTAAGCAGCTTCAAATTTGGCGAGTGTTTGAATGAGGGACGGCCTCTTTTCAGGGCCTTCTCCCTGTTGCTAGACAACAGTGATTTGTAACCTCACGATGTCACGATGAGGTCACGAATTCCCGTCACTAGATTTGTCACCCATTTAAATAACGTGTCTTATATATGAAGCTCTATGAGCAAAAATTGATCTGTTGTCACAGATCAAAGTCATCCTGCACACTGGAATGTCATCCTTTGATGATGCTGACATTCTTGTGATGGTGGACAGAGTTACAAAAGAAAGAAAGTGTAAAAATTATACACAGTGCCCATCAATTTTATGAGGTCTTTTACTTGTCTGTGTTTTATCTGTCCCTTTTTTATTCAGGATAAATATCTCTTTATGCAGTAAGGGACGTGTTTCGGCCCATTTAACTCCCGTGCTTTCTAATGCAGTCCTCTAAATACTGAACAAGAGCAGTATGGAGGCAGAAAAGGCTAGGTTTGTTCTGTTCTCTTGCTCTGTCTGTCAGCGCCCAGCACGAATACCAATCTCAAAATCCCTCCCTCCACTTCCACTTTTCACTGCTTTTATTCCTCTGTCTAGATTGGCAATTTCTCCCCCCTGGTCTCTGGAGGAGACTTTTCTGCTAGACCAATTTCATCCATAGGTCCACCTTCAATCCAAAACGACCTCCCCCACACCTTCACCGCCACTGCCTCCCTTGTTTTGCACCCTCGCAATGTCCCTCATCCATTCTCCCACACCTGCTCAAAGCATCAGCCCTTGTCAACGCCTGTGTGCCCCTCTGATTTGCAGGACGGCTCCTGTGGTGACGATTAGGGAGGAGTCCTGCTGCGAACCGGAAAGTAGGCTCTGTGGGAATCAAAAGGCTATTCCCACTCTGCTCAACCTTTCTGCTATCCTCACTACCGCAACCAGAGAGGAGGCCAGAGTATGGGGCGTAAGAGCCGAACGGAAGGCAAAAATATGTGGATAAAAAAGGCCAAAAGCGTGTTTCAAGGAAAATGCGGTCTGTTGTTTATATGTGTGCGTGTTGTGAGTGCGTTAAAATGTGTGTACGTTCATGTGTTTGTGTGCGTAAGTGCATATGTGCATAGGTGGAGTGAGGCCAAGGCCATTTGGAACTAGCCTTACTATGTCGAGTTCATTCAACTTGCAGCATTCTGAGTAGAAAGAGAGGCTTATTTAAATGATAATGAGGGACAATCCATTGGATTTAGTGCTGGTGAAGGGAGAAAAAGAGGGGAGGGAAAGGGGGATCCATTAAAACGCCAGTGGTTCATAAGCCATAGGGTCGGCATACAGCTAAACACTCTCTCTTAAAAGCCATTATACATGGCTCTCAATGGATTTCTGCAGTGCTTAGGACTTCAAAAGGATTTAAGAACCCGCCCCCGAGAGAGAGAGTGTTGGGGGAGGGAGTAGGACAAGTATGTGTGTGGTGGCGATGGTGGTTGGTGGCGAAAGAGATGGGGCGGATGCTGGCGGCATTTAAGGGTTAACTAAACAGCCCCGGAGAAGAAAATGTTACTAAATCCACCCCTTATCCTCTCCCAATTTCCACGCCCCCTCCTCCACTCTTCCTGCAAAAAAAAAAAGAAAGAAAGAAAGAAAGAAAAACATGGCGTTAAAAGGGGAGGGTCCTGTCCATCTTCTCCTAACCCAGACTATTGGTTTTTTACCGTTGCATGAAGGCCAGGAGGCGGGCCAATCACTACTAGTTGGACAATAATAAGAGAAAGGATGTGAACACGTATGCCCTCTGTGGCTGGAAATAAGGTGGGTGGGTGGGTTTGGGTGCATGTGGGTGGATATGTTGGTGAATACAGTTTGGTTTTCGAGACGCCGACAGCAGCACAACTGCCACCCCTCCTCTGCAGGACACAGTTACAGTGGAACCCACCCCCTCTCCCACCTCACATTTCCCTAATCCCTGCGTGGCTTAGTGCAGGGGCCCTACTGCACTGCAGGCACAATTACCTAGTCAAAATAAACAGATAAAGACCCGACCATGGCAATGAACAACAGCATCCCCTGCATTTTTCCTTTTTTTTTTTACCCCCTGCTCACAAATTGATGCATGACTGTTTTTACAGGCAGGCGGGTGCGTCCGCATGTCGCATTTGTCTCCGTTTCCTTTGGCGGTAAGACAAGAGAAATCCATTTTACTTGTTGCCAATGCGGCATCATTAGTTAAGAGCTCTTAAAGCTGGGGAACCACTTTGATGTGGTGGAGCGTATTTTATGAAAATTAGCAGAGCTCTCAGTGCGGTGGTGGAGATTTCATGGAGCTGAAAAAGTAAGAGATATAAGGGAGACAATGACACGCTGTGTGTCACGTCCAGGCCTTCACCGGGTGGAATACAGCCAGTGAAGAAACACGAAAAGATGGAAGGAGAAAAAGAAAGATAAAGACAGGCAGAGGAGGAGAGATGGATTGATATAGATGGCGTGGCTACAGCGATCAACGTCTGTGCACCATTTATTTGGCAGCAGATTAGAGAGACATGCCACATCTAACACCGTCGCCGATTACAGCGTGCAATTTTCAACCGTGTTTCCCCCCACCCCTCGCCATTACAGCAAGCACCACCACTTCCACCGCCCCCTTCGTTCATGCCCCCTCCTTCTTAGTGCTTGTCGCATATCCCTGTCAGAGCTGTCAACAAGCGTTGGGCTTTTATCTGACAAGCCCGCCTCTTCCTCCTGACTTTTTCATTAAAAGACAGCCTTTTACACAAATTCAAGAAAAACAGTGCGGAGGGGGGATGCATGAGAGAAACTGAGCAGCGAGGCTTAGAAAAAAGAAAATGAAGATAGGAAAAAATTAGGCTGTTTTTTTTTCACGAGACTGAATTTTCGGTTGGAAATATGAATAACTTAAAACAATGTATTTAATAAGTTCTTTTAAATCTTTTTCCTTCCCATCATTTCAACCCTGCTGGAAAAGGAAGCTGCACATTTTCCTTCTTCCTCTCTTTCTCTCGCTCCTCCTGCTTTAGTCAGCTAAATGAACAGTCTGATTGAATTTAGTTAGGTTTGGGAGGCCTGCTTGACAGGCATTAGTTAGGAAGCATATTTCTACATTCATTTCAAATGAGCTGCTTGGGATTTTGCATAAATTCTCATTACTTCCCCTGTATTTAAATTGCATTATTTCATCCCTTATGCTGAACCAATGTCTGGTTTCCATTTTGCTTTGCCACCTACTCATCTTCTAAATGGGCTGGCATATGGATGCAGGCGCAGGGATAATTGGAACCGTTCCTTTAACTCGTTCCGTTCTGGGGTTGGTGAGGTCGACCCACACCTGGCTGAACCTGGTTATGTTTAAATTTAACTGGTCACGCTTCACGTAATGGCAAGCAAACTAGGTGATATTGTGTGACCAGTCCTTTCTATGCGCTGTTAACCAACTACCCTCGGGAGCTTGGAAAGAAAAGCATCTGGACTTCTTTAAGTTTTGGTGCAGAAGCTTTTCTTTCCAAGCTGCTTAGCCTACGATGACCTGGATGACCGAGAAGCTTCACAGACACATTAACCAACTAGCATTCTTCCCAACACAAAGAGGCTATCTGAGATTAGAGTTTGGGTCTCGTCTGTGGACTCACCTCACTGAGCTGCTCTTTGGAGTTGCTCCTGTGTGGTCGACTGAGTTCAGTCTCGTCCTCGCCAACTTTGACTGGATGAAGAGCCAAAGGTTTGATCTGCAGAACACACAAGACATGATGCCATCGTCTAAAAATGTAGTCATAGAATCGACCATGCCACTACTTAAGACACTGACTTATTGTATTTTTTTTCAGAAACAAATTTAAAAGCTGCAACAGCTTTTTGCTATAACAAGATGGCAAAGAGAAGAAGACTGAAATATTTACACAGACCAGAGAAAAACAACAATTTAAAACTATCTTGTTGAGAGCTAAGTGTACTTCATAACTGTGGTGGGCGCACATTTTAGTCTCACCTACTTTGTGTAATGCAACAAACTATAGAAACCTCTATTAATATCATGCCATCTAAATTGTACAGAAGGCTGGGTTGTTGATTGCTGATTGCCTTCTATCGCTGCATTTTCCAATTCAGTGTCAGCCCATGCAACAAGATCTAATAACACCAAACATTTAATCACGCTAGAAAGATTTTAGTTGTGCATTAGCCAACTTTATATCTGACTGACAGAAATGACACACAAACACAATAATTGCAAAGAAGACCAAAGTAAAAAACAAAAACAATACATTGCACACAATGGTACATGAGAAAAGAATAGCAGAACTCTGATCTACCTGCAAATATGTGAAATTTATTAACCCTTTAAGACCTACCATAGAACCAAGTCCGCCAGAGCTTATATTATATTTTACATGCTGTGGAGCCATTTCTGGGAGCATTTCAAGTTGATATACATCAATACAACCATTATAGCCAAAATTTTAATAATATGCATTAAGTGCATAGTAATTACATAAATTGCAAAAAAGTGCAATAAACTACAAAAATTGAAAATCGTTTTGTTTTCTTAACATATATTTCTAGTTAGAGAAATTTAAGAGAAACTGTAAATACAAAAAAGTTGCACAAAATAGTTTCCCACCACAGGAAATTTATTTTAAGTGTCTTCATAGTTTTATTTTGAAATACACCAATTTTTATATACTGCAGGAAAAACGAAAATAAATATTAGAGTGCAAATTTGCAAAAAAACAAACAGCATATGCATCAAAATAAACTATTTCCAGCAGTGCAATTGAGTACTAAGCATCGCAGAAACGACACAGAAAGTCATAAAGTCAAACATAACTTTTAAAACACCAGTATAGGCCCATGAGGCCCTGATGGTAAAAAAAAACTACATTTCTGCAAAATGACGTCACTTCCAGTTTCGGGCAGGTCATGTCGGACATGCGAGAGTTCACGCTGATGGTCATAGGAAGTTTACAAACAGCTGATTGGATCGGCAAAGCCTGTTTCTGGAATATTATGTTTTTGTTGCTGCAAGTGCTTTTTATGCAGTTTTTGCAAAGCTATATGTGGAAGGAAACTGTGACCTAGGACAAGCTGATGACATAAGATGTAAGTACAACTCCTCCGGTTTCATATGCAAAAAAAATTATTGCGCTAGCTTACGTGGTTGCAGAGCTACCGGGATTTAAAAATAGTTACACAAAACGGAGCGTGCCCGCTCTGACCGGCTTTAAAGGGTTAAAATACTTTTTCATTCACTTGGTTTCCTGTCAAACCGCAACCAGCAGTGGAAGTGGAAGTTTTTTTAATCATTTATAACAAGTCTGTTAAACTGTGTCTTATATTCCAGTTCATGTTATTTCCTCTAACTTAGTCGAATGTACTTTGAACCAGGTACTATGTAAAGCACAGTCGAATAAAAATGGGTTCAACTGACCATGGAACACAGCCTTTCAAAGGAAATACAATGAGTGTGTGAGAGTCAGTTTATACTTTGGTTAAATGCAAAATCGAACTGGCTGCAACAAAAACACCTGGAACGCAAAACCTCAACCAACAGGTGCTGGTCGCACCAGCCAGCATGGGTAATGCAGCAGGGCAAATTAAGTAAACACAACTGTGCTGGGTTCACTTAATTTAAGGGATCAGTGCAAATGCAGTTGCTCCGTGTTGAGCTTGACTGATTTATTTAACTATAAGTCTAGTCAGCATAGTTCAGCTTGAGTGAAATAACATTTCCTTCTTGATCACATACTGTACATTAGATAATGTGAGGACACACCCGATCATACTTTGGGTAGGCAAAATTAACCAGGACAGAATAGCTCTGACCTGTAATATCCTTACCTTGGCTGAAAAATGAAAAAGCAAATAATATGCTGCTGGACTAAAATTCCAGTCCAGCCCAGTTCCTCAGTTAGCTCTAAAAGCTCCATAAGCTAACTTTAAAAGGCCGGAATGACCAAGCAAAAACTTAAAGGTAACGTGAACTATGAGTAGATAATACTGCAGACAATGTTGACATGTGTATAACATTTAGAGAAAAAAAACTTACTATTTAGCACATACAGAATATCAAATAAAAGTTGATGTAATGTAAAATCATGGCGAAACCAAAACCTGACAGCCCTAATGCTAACATGGATGGTTTGCTTTATTGTAGGCCATCAAGTCCCACAGTTGGTGTGCAACCAAATTCCCAGCCAGATGGGAGGTTGGCGAGCTAAGCAAGGAAGACTGTGTGCTGCTGCAGGATCAGCCAATCACAATGTCCCGTGCTGCTTCCCCACCTTGGAGTACAGCAGCAATGGCCGCGGGGTGTAATCCATTTGACTAGCAGTTTGCGTGTAGCAGCTCCCCGGTGGCAAGTATGGTGTCTGGCCCCGGTCTCCTGATCTCCACTGTAATTTAAGCAGATCACTGCTACAATTAACCTTTCCCGGTAAATATCAATTATGGCCCCCGGCTGGGCTAGAATTAAAAGGGTCATCAGCTAATCTGACAGGTCCTGTACGGTACCACCTGGCTGGAGAGAGGGAGGAGGCAGGGCGGCAGAGAGAGAGAGAATGTTTGTCTACCCTTGTGCCCACCAGCTCACAAGCCAAGTAGACACAATTCCCTTTTAATTACCCTGCTGCCGCCAGGGCAAGCATGCTGATTGGCCAAGGGGCATTAGCAGTGTGCTGAGGTCAATAGTGACAGGATAGGGGTAGGGTGGGTGAGCATGGAGGAGCAGTGGGGGGAGCTGCCGCCTAGCAATCAGGGTGTAGAAATGGAAGGAAGAGAGACCTGGCAGGTGGGCCTAATTAGGTTTGACTTCCACCTCTACCCGCCTCTCCCTCGGTCTCTCTCGCTCTCTCTCAACTAGCTGTCAGCCTAATCACTCCTTGAATCTCAAAATAGATGGTGGCCCTTTTGATTTCCTCCTCTCAAGGAGAGCACAAACAGAGCAATCCTCCTTGGCAGGGAGGCAAGCACGTCAGTAGAGACGGAGCGTCGAGGTACAGCCACAGTTGTGTTGCTGTCAAGTGCTGGCGCTGAATACTTTGTTACTCAGCATCAGCGTTGCTGACACATTCCCAAAGTGCCCAAAGTGCTTCCGTCTCCTCAGGGACTTTGGGTTACATTTCCCAGTCAGCAATCAATTTGGCTATTGATCAAAACACAGCTTCTAATTAGGCACCTAGGTTAATGATGTAGCGTGCAAAGACCGTTCCCCAACCTGCTGTTCAATTGCATGGGATAGCAATTGATCTAGGCAGGAATTCACCAACTCTGACAAGGGATTGGCAGCTTGGACTGCCTGTGATTAAGTGAGGGACTAATTTCCTGTCTGGGGAGGTGCTTAATTGGCCCTAAACTCCCAGCTATATAGCTTTCATGTTTTTTCCCCCTTTCTTTTGTTGTATACTCATTAATGTTAAAGGACGAGTTAGTAAGCTTGACAATGGGACTAATTGTCTTTGCTAAAATTCAACTGCTTGCAAGTGGTGACAAAGTCCAAGGTTATAACTATTCTCTATTCCTAAATGATGTCTTTAAAATCCACTCTGGGCAAAACAGAAAGAAAACACTGTTATCACTGCTTCGAAATGTCACATAGTTTTTGTGAAAATAAACTTTATTTAGGTTTGTTCCAGACAGTATTAGGGGAAGGCTAATCAGGCTGTAGCAGCAACTAAATGTTCTTATTGTGATGCTATGTGAAGTGTGTAGAAACTGTGAGCACAGTCATGTAATACAGACTAGCTGAAAAAGTAATTAATTATAGTTACTAGTTACTTCTTCAAAAAGTAACTGAGTTAGTAACTGAGTTACAGATTCTAAAAGTAATGAATTACTTGAAAAGTAACTATTGTGTTACTTAAAAAATGTTTAACCCTCTGGGCTCCAGGGTATAACTGGCCATTTTAACCACTTTTGATTTTCCCTCCACATTTAACCTTTAAAAAATATTTACTTTGCCTTGTTTGGTGTCATTCTTTTCAGCACAACCTCACGTTTCTGAATTTATGGTTATGTTTTCATTTTGACACACCGTATTAACACAACTGATCTAAAATCACAGAAAAACATAAAAACCGAGTAGAAAAAGATATATTTTTACTGCAACCATCACAAACATGTTTATGAATCAAATTTCATAACTTTAAATGCAAATATAAATTGTCAATTTTAAAATCATATGCACAGTTTTGCAAACAACAAAGTTATTTGCAGCTATTTACCTTTTACCTCTTTTTTTTTATAACCATTTCAAACTATTTATATAACAATCAGGTGTTCTGCATTCAATATGTACGTCTTTCTCTCTCTCCCTCTCTCGCCGTCACCCCTAAAACTTCCCCCTCTTCCCCTTCATGTTGTCATATCATTGTTTGATTGGTCAACATGGTACATTTTTCCACCAACACAAAAGGGCGTTTTTTTTGTTTTGTTTTGTTATTTTTTGCTCAGAGAGTGCTCGCTGCGCTGTCCTTAGACGTTAAACGAGACGAAGCTATTGAGGAAAAAACGTCGCGTATACATTGTTATCATCTACATCATGGTTTTACGTGGCCTATCAACACAATTTAAAAAATATTCTTCCTCAGTCAAACAGCAGCACTCATGCGATTGTTTGCCTCCTTAGCTCCAGGTGTTGTGCTAGACAGTGATCGTGATCACCGTCCGCAGCTGCTTAAAGCTGTAGCGCCCAGATTACTTACAGCTACTTCCTGCAACTGATATAAGGTGCGGT